TCCCGTAATTATAACTTCTTCTCACGGGGGCACAGCTCCCTGCGTGGAAGGCCCTCTCTGCTTTCCCCAGCCCCCCCCGCCCCGCCCTGCCCTCCCCAGCTGCCTTGTCCCCCTCTCACAACCTTGGCCCCTTCCTCTTTACTTTCCTTTTTATTAAATTGTGGTCTCTCAAAACTAAACTGGGCATTAAAGATCACCTGCTACTGCTTTGCAAAATGTTTTTTCAACCTCTACGAGGGGTGCCCAACCCGTGGCCCACGTGCCGCAAGAAGCCCAAGATGGCTGGTGAATGCGGCCCCACACAAAATCATAAATTCACTTAAAACATTATGAGATGTTTTTGTGAAGACGTGTCACAATGTATTTAATGTGTGGTCCAAGACAACTCTTCTTCTTCCAGTGTGGCCCAGAGATGCCAAAAGGTTGGACACCCCGAACCATCTTCCCACAGAAAACCACCCATAAAGCAGGTAGAGCGTACCGGCTCTGAAAAAAGGAGACGTGCCACGCCTCACCCACTAAGTCCACGCGAGGAGCCCCAACCCCGGCCCGTAATGAGTCCCTTGGCAAAGTCCTAGGAGCTCCCTGACAAAGCCAGCCCCTCATGAGGCAGGTGAGGAGGCTGAGACCCAGAGGGGGGCAGACAGCATGTTTCAGTCACAGTCAACGCGGTTCCCTGTTCTGGAGCCCTTTCAAGTTCTTTCCTTTATTTCCTTACCACACGGTTTCCGAATCTTTGGGCTGGGAGGATCCCCTTGAAGTCTGGGCACTAATGGCATTCCCAGGGGTTCAAACGTTACCTCCCTCTGCCAAGGCCGCATCCCAACCCTCCGGACTGGGGACATCCTGCAGAGTTCACTGCCTGTCCTTAATGCAGTCACACAGGCTTTTCTCAAGGGCCCAGGGGAGAAAGACAGAGGACGCACTTTAGAAATCATGAATTCAGTGACCTGGGTGCGTCCTGGGCATCTCTGTGCCCGTTCCAGAAGGGCTAACACAGCAAGAAAGTGGCTGAGACAAACGGGGGTGCAGTTAAACGGAGCTCACACGAGGTGACTCACTGCGGGGGTACGTGACAACCTGCTTTCCCTCCGGAGGAAGCAGCTCAAGGCAACTGTCAGCTCCCTCGCTCGGCAAGGCCCTTCCTGCCTGTCTCCTCCCACCGCTGCCAGCTAGCCTGTCAGATGCACAGTCGCTTCTCTCTCTGTGAAATAACAATATGGACATTCGTAAAGCTTCTCCTAGCTTTTCAAAGTCAGTACGGTGAAAACACAATGCATCTTAATTGCCTGCCCCCTACTTCTTGCAAAACAAATGGCAACAGTCTGAGAGCTGGCACTGAGCTGAAGGAAGGCCAGGGAGTGGGGCTGGGATTCCCACTCCCTGCCCTCGTATAAAAGTGCCCCAGACAAACCTGCTTCCATCTAAGGTGTCTGGCTTTCCACAGTGCTTTTTCCAGGCCACCTAAAACTATTTTTATATCCATCACTTCCTCTCACAGTTTGCCTAGAGGAAGGGAGAAAGAGGTAGGGGTTCAGAGTCACCCCAAGACTGGCCTCTGTGATATGCGGATTGTTTTGGGCTTAAGGCAACTTTAGCTCTAGCTGCAGGCTCACGAGAAATGTCTGCCTCGCTCACCAGTAACTACCTAGAAGAATTTGAATAAGGGGCCTTGCCCACAGTAAGAGATTATCAATGGGAAAGAGCAAACTTCCAGTGACTGAACATCTGCTCTTCTTCCTGTCCTGCAATGACCCTTTGAGGCCCTCAAGGCATCTCACCTCAGCTCTGCCCAGGGGGCCTCAGAGACCCAGCCTCCATTTCTGTCTTTGAACCTCTCCTGCCAGTGGGGCCTCCCTGACAGAGTCCCCTGCCCGCATATGGACTGAGTTGGGTTATTTTCTCTTGCCCAGCAGTTGATGTGCACTTGATTATGAGACCAGCTGAAAGAAACTTGAGGGTAGAGACATGTTTCTTCCTCCCGGACAAAGACAGTTAATTCAATTTTTCTGGAGAAACAGAAATCCAGCAATACTGTGTCAAGGGGCATAAGAGCAGTCAAAAGGCGACCACGTTTTAATGGTTGGCGTCTCTTCGTCTTCATAAAAATGGTAGTAAATGGTTGTTTGGACAAATTTTAAGAGTTCAAATCCTGGTTCTACCACTTAATTGCCACATGATTTTGGACCAAATACTTGACCTCTGTCTGCCTCAGTATTATTCGTAAAGTGACCAATGATAATATGGTAGTGCCTACGTTATTGCCTTGGTGATAGAGCAAATGAGTTATATGTGTAAGAACCTAAGAACAGCACTAGCATATAGTAAGTTCTCAATAAGTTTGAGTTATTATTTGTGTAGTGCTTATGGTTTACAAAGAGCTTCCAGATCTTGACTTTAAGCCCAGGCATTTGGAAGAAGTTCAGAATATTGTTGGGTGAGGTCCAGCATCCTTTATGAACACATCCCACAGAGGAGGTCTCCTAGGTATGGCTCGCCCGGCCCCGCTCGGTCGGTTTGCCCCGTGCCCTGGGAAAGCACTCTGCAAGGCTCCAGCACACTTCCTCTGCTGCGGCAGAGGCTGCCACCCAGGAAGCATGAACTCTCCCTTATCCCTTACACAGCAAGAGGAGGCAGAATTATGCACATTGTTGCTTAAACCCCACTAGTCCTTATCTCCCCACTTTCAGATACCACTGGATATTTTTTGAAACGCCAATGCTGGGCTATGAGAATTCAACTGTCATTTCCCCTGGTAAAACTTTTAGATGCCTTATAAAGCAACATTAAAAAGCGGCTTGTGAGTGCTGGTCGCCATCCCTCTCCCTCACTCCATAAAGGGAAAGGAGTTGTGTGTGTGTGTGTGGTGGGTGGGGGGGCACCATGATGCATGCAGGTAAGACCTGGGGCTGCAGGAGGCAACTCACCCAGAGCACCAGTGGGTAAAAGCTCCGGCTACACTTAACCAGCTCTGATGTCAGCCTTTCTGAGCTGAGTTTTCTTATCTGTAAAATTACAATAATAATTATAACCATGTCATAGGGTCCTTGTAAAAATTCAACGAGTTAATTCATGTCTTACGTTTAGCACAATGGTCAACACATCCAAGAGTATGATAAATGTCAGGTTTTGTGGGAAAAAGAGAGGCCACACACGACACCTGACGAGCTCAGGGGAGGCTGCGTGGTGGCCTTACAAACTCAGACCCCAAAGTAACCACACAGGATGATCTGAAGTGAAAACTTTCTCACTAGAAAGCCGGTCACGATGGGTAGTCCTGTCCTAGGCTGGTGTTTTTCCCTAACAAAGGCCAATCTTTACTTTAGCTGAGCTTGTCTTTTTGCACCTACGGTAACATATCTTTGGAAAGTCAAATTTCTTTTTTCAGGACCCCTCAAAGTACAGGCACTGTGCAGGGGGAGACCACAAATCCCCTCATTGTTATTGTTATCCTGTTCACTGTTCACTGTTGAAAACACGAGTCTATCATTTTACCTTTTATCCAAACCCAGAGCCACACCCTCGCCCAGCCCTGCTGTCTCTCACCTCCCTAATTTACCACCAACGGGTTTCACGTCACCCCCTAGGCCTCCTCGTTTGACTGTAATACACAACCTAAGGTGCTAAACGGCCATTCATTCTGGGGAGCATTTCTCGATTCTTAAGAGATGTTGCTTCCTGGCAACTGTCATCGGTTTGGCTCAAATAAACTCACCAACAATTCTCTGCAGGTTCAAATCTTTCTTACGTTGACAGTTTTATTATCATTACCTGAAAAAGAGGAGCAGCTAGGGTTTATTCTGTGCCTTTTCCATTACACCACGTGGGCCCCTTGTCCCTGACTCAGGAAAATAAGTTTTATCTCCGAATGCAGGAGCCTTAACCGCTGCCAGCCCGGCTCCTGGTGTGGGGCGTGGGGGAGGGGTGGGTAGGAATTCCACCTTTTTTGAGGTGGGCGTAGTTTTGTCCACCCTAGGAAGCAATCCACGTATTCCTCACTGCTGACCAGTGATGACCCAGTCTTTCTCCGGACCCTCGTAGGGTCCGGACACTCGTTCTCTGATGACACGTGAGTGAACACTCGCACAGTTAGAAAGTGTGGTTTCTCCGTTCCGGCTCCCTCCACCCTCCTTCCACTTCCCACTTCCTCTCTCCTCCTCCTTCCTCCTTTCATCTTCCCCTCCCTCTTCCTCTTTCTGCGCCGGCCTCCCCCTTTCGTCCCCCCGCCCCCGCCCCCAGCCCCGACAGCCCGTGGTCCCGCTCGGCCCTGACGTCACCGCCTCTGTCTCGGAGAGCCTGGTAGGTGTCCAGTGTGGCCGCGCGTCGGACGAGGGGAGTGAATTGGTCTTCAGTGGCTGTAACAATCCTCTGGGTTGTGCAGGGTCTTTCGGAAGTAGAACCTTTTATCTGGGTCTCTGGCTTGGCCTTCTGGTTCATTAATGTCATCCATCAGTTCGCTCAGTTGCCATTATTAACCCCATCTAGGACCACAGGAAGCTGGAGCTGGGTTGATGCGGTGCCTTGAGGCCCAGGCGGCCCCTGTGCAAGCCTCGCAGAAGGCGGGGGCGCTGGGGGCGGCCCTCCGATGCCGACGCCCGCAAGGTAGCCTCCAGGGTTGAACCCCAGCCTGAAGCAGGGACTCCGCCGCCGGCCCGCCTCCCGCTGCCTCGGCGCGCGGCCGCTTTAAGAGAGGGGCGGGGCCGGCCCGGGCCAGGAGGCCAGCCCACAGGCTCCTAGTCCTTTTTGATCCATTCAAAAATTACTCATTGCAAATTCCCGGACTGCTGGGAGAGGAGAAGGCAGGGGGCGGAGGAGCCGAGCTGCTGCGGGCGCCGCGCTGGGCGCCCCGGAGGCCCGAGCCGCTGAGCCGGCCGGCCGGAGCCGCTCCTGGGCCGTCTGACTCCGGGGGCCTCACCAGGAAGCGTCCGAATCTCGACACCCGCGGAGCTCCGCGCGCCACCGCCCGCCGGCCCTCGGCCCCGAGCCCCGCCCGGCCCCAGCCAGGGTCCCCGGCGATGGCTGGCCGCTGAGCATGGCTCAGTACGGCGCCCCTGGCCCGCTCGGCATGGCCGCGCGGGAGGAGCTGTACAGCAAAGTCACCCCGCGGAGGGCCCGCCAGCAGCGCCCCGGCACCGTCAAGCATGGATCTGCGCTGGACGTGCTCCTGTCCATGGGCTTCCCCAGAGCCCGCGCGTAAGTGCCGGTGCTCGCAGCCCCCCGACCCGTCCCCACCCGCCCCGCCCCAGGGCCGGCCCTCGGCTTCGCTCCGGCTCGCCTCCTGCGCCCGCCGTCCGGGCGGCGCGCGTCCCCTGCCCGAGTCCTGCTGCGAGTGGATGGGGCGCGGGAGCTGGCGCTCACGCCTTCGGGCGGGGTACAGGGCAGACCCCGCGCAGGAGCGATTGGCCGGGGCTTGGCTGTGGCTGCCTTAGGGGAGGCATGCCTCCAGGCGAGGGCAGCGGGCTCGAGTCCCCGTACCGTGCTCAGCGCCAGGCCTCCGCCGTGGGGCTAAGCCGAGGTCTCGCGGGCCCTGGGGAGGCGGGCCCCACTGGGGATTCAGGCACCCTCTGGATCCGGAGCTAGGCTGGCTGCAGATCCTCTCGTTGGCTGGGAAAGGGACGGGGACCGCCGGGCAGGGAGGCTGGCCCTCCCACTGCAGCGGCTTCCAGCTCCGGATACCGCGCTCGGGTTCTGTCTCCCTCCGGAGTAGGAGGGGCAGGAGCGTGGGTGCTGCTGCGTGTTCATTGATAGGGAGGGAGGAGAAGCCGTTTCTCCAGGGGACCTGGGTTCTCGGTTCTCGTCAGTGGTGACGGCAGCCGTCTGGGGGTGCGAGAGACTAAGGAGGGGGCGCTGTCCTCCCTCATCCTCCTTCCCCCTGGAGGGTGGGGTAGGCAGGCAATGGCCGAGAGGGCGCCGGTGGCCGCCCCTGCAGCCTGCTGCGAAGAGGCCTGTTCGCCGGCAAGAGGCAGCAGGAGCCTTCTAAAGCCGGGCTGGGGAGGCGGCGGGGCTGGAACCTCGCCTGGGAGGAAGCCAAGGCCCTGTGGCCGGGCGCTTCCCCCTTGGTCGCCTGCAGCTTTCTCAGGTGGGGTCACCCTGCCTGGGGTCCTGTGGTGCTGCTTCTTGGAATTGCATCCCCTGAAGGGGAAGTTGGGCAAACTTTATTAGGAAAGGCAAAGTTAGTACAAGTTTTTTTTCTCCCCCGTTTTTCAGGGTTCCCTTCCCTGGCCTCTGGGCACCCCGTTTATTCTTTACTAACTTGGCTGCTACGTCTTAATCACAGCGACCCCTAGTTTTCCTCCTACCCGGCCTGCTTGGAAGGCCTGAAAGGGACTGTCCTTCCTGTCCCCCACTGGCTTCCAAGCACTGGGGCTCCTGGTGCGGGAGCTGCAGAAAGACGGGGGCCTCGCAGGGGTATGTCAGGTGTTCGTGCTGCCGGCTGGGTCCTTCCTACGGATGCTGAGCGGCACAGCTCTCCTTAAGAAGGGTCACAGGGGTCGGCGTCTGCTGGGCAGTGCTGCAGAATTAGCACAGTCCAAGGCTTTTTCCCTTTAAGAAGTGAGGCCAGTGCTAGGACCTAAGTTGTTTAATGAAGGGAAGAAGTATTTGACTACTCAGACCATCGTGTTTGCTATGCAAACGGACTTTAAAGGGTCCAAAAGGCCTTCTCCATGTCCTGACACATTAGAATGACGGTCTAATTTTGACTTCACAACCCCTGAGATCTCACAATAGCTAGCATTTACTGAGTGCTTACTACATACAGTACTAAGCACTTTGCCTATTAGTCATCTTATCGTCCTAGCCATCCAATGAGAAAGGTAATCATGTGCCCATTTTATGAATTGGGAAACAGGTTTCGAGAGGTTACATAGCTCGCTGAGCATCGCAGCAGCAAGCAGTGAGGCTGGGGTTCAGTCCCAGGCGGTGAGCCTGCTCAGCACAGGCCCGTATCCAGGGCCGTCAGGCAACGAGCTAATGTGGGGTACAGCTCAGTGCGCTGTCTGGCCTGGCGCACGGTGGGTCGTCGTTGAGTGTTAGCTGCTTTATTAGTTTCTGCGGCTGCTATAACAGGTTACCACAAACTGGGTGGCTGAAAACGACAGACGTTTATCCTTTCACAGTTCTGGAGCCCAGAAGCCCTAAGCCAGTGCCACTGGGCTGAAGTCCAGGCGGCAGCGGGGCTGCCCGGGCTCCCTCCGGAGGGTCTGGGGAGAGCCCGTGCCTGGCCCTCCCACCTCCTGGTGGCTGCTGGCACTCTTGGGCTTGTGGCTGTATCGCTCCAGTCTCTGCCTCCGCGGTCACATTACCATCTCTTCTGTCTGCATCCAATCTCCCTCTGCCTCTTTCCTAGAAAGACACTTGTGATTGCATTTAGGGCCTTCTCAGGTAATTCAGGCTGATCTTCCCATCTCAAGATTCGTCACTTAGTCACATCTGAAAACTCCCTTTCCCCCCCTATAAGATAATGTTCGCAGGTTCCTGGGACTGGGATACGGTTATCTTCTGAGGAGCCATTATTCTGCCTATCAGAGCTTCTGTAATTGTTGCTTGCACTGCTTTTCTTTGCTGAATCGGTGATAGAGTGGGTCATGATGTAATAGCCTGGGTGGGAGGAAGGTTGTGTTTGCTGTTCTGCTCCCTCAAGTTCTCTGCCTCAGATGGGCTGAGCCCTTGGCAGTGACCTGACCTGTTTCCACTCCCTCCCTAGACCGGCATCTCTTCTGCCTCAGCCTAGAAAGGCCAGTGCAGTCAGCCTTCCCCTTAATAGCAACTCAGGTCAGTAAGAAGGGGGACCTTTCTCCAGGGCCATCTGAAATTTCAGAGAGCAGAGTTTCAGCTTTATTTTGTCAGGCTTAGCCTCTGAAAAGCCTCTTTTTAGGTCTTAACTCTGGAGGAAGGAGCATGACAAAATTGAAAGCAGGAGAGAGCAGGCATGGCTTCCTGGGATCGGGATGACTTGGCTGTGATGGGGAAAAGGGATGAGACCAGGTCTGGAACACGGCCCTTTAACGAGAGAACAGTGGCAGCAGCGCCCGCAGCTCCGTTTCCCCTCTGGCTGTAACTGGGTCTAGTGTTGCGCAGCAGCAAGAAGGGGCCTTCTGCTGGGTGCTTGGTGGGCCGGCAGAGAGCTCAGAGGCCAGCAAGGCCCAGGTCCCCTTCCAGCGTGTGCAGTGCTGTGGCCTTCATAAGCCACGTAACCCCGCTGGGCCCTGCTGACTCCCTTCGAGGGGGACAGGGTTAATCTGCACTTGCTTCTTAAGTGCAGGAGAGCCACCGCCGGGAAAGCGCTGAGCAGGTAGGGCACCTCAGGGTGTGTGTCCTCCAGCTCCTTACTCCCCGGGAGCCGTGCTGGATTTTTCCCATCCCACCTCTGTGTCAACCTAGACTCTGCTGTGGAAAAGCCTGCCACCTGGAGAAGGATGGAGGAGTGGGGACTTTTATGGGGGGGGCATGTGTGTGGCTGTCTGTCTGTGTGTAAGCAAGCAGAGAGGGTGAGGGAGTGTTAGGAAGGCCTCAGAAAGAAAACTTTCAAGGAACCGAAAGAGTCTTTCCCTTCCTTCTTTTCTTTTTTTTCTGTGTCCAATAGCTCTGCTCTGTTCCAGAAGCTCTAAAAATAAAGGTCCAGCTTTGTCAAGACTGGAATGGTGGGAAGGAAAAGGAAGAACGTGTGCAGGGCAAAGGCCTGAGCAAGAGGACGCAGGGGGCCGGGAGAGGGGGGCGTCCATCACCGGGGAAGGCAGGGCCAGCTCCCGGTAGACTCCTGGCTTTCAGTGACCCTACTTGACTCTATGCTGCCGCCTGCTGGCCTCTGCGGTTTGGCGGGGGGTGGCGGGGGTGGCGGGGGCGGCGGGGGCGGAGTAGCTTGATGCCAAGCGTGGGAGCCAGTCACTGAACAATGAGTTTGGGGAGTCCTGGCTGATACAGCCCTGCCTTTTCGTTTGTTTTGGTTGGGGTTTGTCTGAGGCTGCCTGTGGCTAGTACTTCCTGTGTGGCCCGTTGGCTTTAGAACGCTTCCTAACGATTGAGTCTTGCAGAGGATACTGTGACAGGGATCAGATGACTGACTCTTGACGTTTAAGTCTTCTCTTCAACCTCTTTTTATCCACATCCTGACCGGCTCCTGTGCGTGGCAGTGCCTGTCCTGTGTAGCTCACCAGGCTTTGTCAAGAGAAAATGATATCAGGACAGGAAAGGACTTGGGGAAGTTAAAAGTATAATCTGGACACAAGACAGATACGGTTATCGTGTTGGATTGGAAGAAAATGAAGGCTATGAGGTGGCCGTTGAGGTCCTCAGCAAGGGTTCACATGTGCTGTTAGGCTGTCCTTTCTCCTACTGAGAATATCTGGGCAAGGCCTAGTTAAAAGAGTAAGACAGTGGTACAAGGAAAGAGCTGGAAGAAGTGCCTTTGACGTTGCTCTGGATGGAAAGCTGTGTTAGCTATGCCTCACTGCCCAGAGATAAAAGCAGCTCCAAGCCGGCTACACAAGGAATTGAGAGGCAACGTGGAGAAGCCCATAAATTAAAATATCCAGTTTCTTTGGCCTTCTCCAGCTTACCTGGTGACTGCCATTGGTTGGATTCTCTAAAAGTACTTAGTCAACGTGGCGTCTCTGAAATGTGGCTGATTCTGGGTGGAGGCTACAGCTGCTTCCCCAGGGGCGTTGGGCAGAAAGAGAAGACGAACCATGGCCCACTTGGAGCTGAATGGATCTCATGGGTGGGCAGGGCGAGTAAGTCTCTCACCGCCCAGCATGACCAACATGACCAACATGCCCACACAGCACTCCTGAATTCGTGGTATTTTTCACTTGAAAACTTGCTCTCATGTGCACTAAATATGCCTCTTGATGAACACAGCAGTCCTGTACACGATGAAAGCCCCATTTTAAAAATGAGACTTGAGGCTCCCAGGAGCTCCGGGACGTACCTGGCACGCGACCAAGTCTCCGTGCAGCCTTGGGCTAACACTGGGAGTCCTGGGACCTTTCCAGGCCTCACGGAGGCCCGGCCTCGTTCAAAGAGAAATACTTTGACATGTGGTCTTCTTTTACCTTTCTCGAGGTCCAACTCATGTGCGATGCATCAACCTATTTAGAGGTTGATCAGCTTTGACGTTTGAAAACACCCAGAATTGCCACCACAAGACACAGCACGTGCCCATCACCCCTGAAAGCTGTGCCCTTTGCCATCAC